AAATCAACCATCTTACATCAACAGAAAGATTATCAGGAAGGGTGTCAGACACATGGTTGGAATTATGAATGGATATAGAATTTTTGACCACTAGGATATTTATGATTTATGAAAATCTGCCAAAGCATTACCAACTAAGATAGATTTGAAAATGTTAACAAAAAAACAAAAACAGAAAACAGAGCAGCAACAAAAAAGACAATGTTAATAAACATGTCTTTTTTGGCTAGGCTGTAATGTTAATCTTGTCTGTGGGTTGTAACAAATAAAGCAGCTTGTTTCTTTAATGATACACATCTGTCAACACATGTGATTGTATTATTTTCTCATTTGCGTTACTAAAATTTTGAATTGATTTTTTATGTTTTCGTAAGTGGAGTCTAATTCTTTCCTCTTTATAATCCATCACACCCAATCAATAAAGTTCTATGCATTTAACCTCTTAAATATTTATTTAAACACTCCTGTCTACCGTACTATCATTACCTTAACTCAGGCCTCCATTTAGGCAGCAGCCTCTTGCTTCGTCTAAGTGCATCCCTTTCATTCCCCCTCTGCTCTATCTTCAACAAAACCAGAGGGATGTAGCAAAAACAACCAAACTTGTCATTTCCCTGCTGAAGATCCTGTCTTGACCCCCTGTGACTCATAACGTGAAGCTCCAGCTCATTATTCTAGCAGAAAAAATATCTGAAAGATTTGACTATTGCCCACTCTTCCAGCCAGAGTACTTTACCTTCTCTGTCATTTGCTTTGTAACAAAAAGCGAACATCTCTACCATTCTTACTACATGCCAGGCCCAATTCTAAGTGTTTCTTGTATGGTAATATTGATCTTCAAAACAATACTATGAAGTAGGTATTATTATTATCTTCATTTTACAGATGAAGAAACAGAAGGAAAGCAAAGTTAATTGAAGTACCAAAGGTCACAGAGTTAGCAAATAGCAGAGCCAAGATTCCAACCCAGGGAATCTGGCCCCAGAGTCCATGTTACACTGCCTCTGCAGCACTAGGTTGAAATAGGTGAACAAATAGGGATATCGGTTTTTGCTTTTATGACTTTGTTCATGTGGTTTCCTTTGTCTGAAATACCCTCACTCCCCACCATTCCCCTATTACCCCACAATCCCTGACTCTTCAATTAACTCCTCATCACATTGGGCATCTCCTCTTCTAGGAGACTTTCCAGCTCTTTCCATTACAGCTGGGGTGGGCGAGCCAGTTTAGTGCTTTTGCACTTGTATGTACACTTTTCAGTGTGGGGGTACACGTCACTGTTGAGACCTAGCTCTTCCACGAGATTGTTTCCTGGGTTGGCTATGAGAATATCTAGCCCTTGTAGGTGCTTAATAAAGATTTGTTGAGTGAAAGAACAAACAAATAAAAACACAGTAATGATAGTGCCAGAAGTATCAGTTGTGCAGTAGGAATTTTGTCCCAGTTCAAACCTTGAGACAATGACAGCTAACGGTCCCAAATTCCTATTGGGGAATTTGTATTCAGTTTCTGTTGAACGCCACATTGTTTCAATACCTTAAGGGTCCGTGTCTTCATTTAGAATTTAATTAGCTATTTCAGGGTAGAATTTGACTTAATCCTGCAACATTTTACATTTAAAATTGGATTACAGACACCTGCATGTCATATCAGAAATAATTTAAATTGACTTAAAAATAAATTCAGCTACTTCTTTTAACAATGAGTGAAGCCAAACAGTATCATAAACAATTCTAAGAAATAGGGCAACTGCATATTTTTAATAAATTACTAAAGAATAATTTTTAACTGTCATCTTCTGTGTTCATAAATAATACACATTTGATTTACACATTAGCCTTAAACTGAAAAAGAGAAGTCACGCCAGTATTAGGCTGATGGACATATCATTTATGTAAATAAAGCAAAAACAATCGGGCCGGGCGCGGTGGCTCAAGCCTGTAATCCCAGCACTTTGGGAGGCCGAGGCGGGTGGATCACGAGGTCAAGAGATCAACATGGTGAAACCCCGTCTCTACTAAAAAAATACAAAAAAATTAGCTGGGCATGGTGGCACGTGCCCGTAATCCCAGCTACTAAGGAGGCTGAGGCAGGAGAATTGCCTGAACCCAGGAGGCGGAGGTTGCGGTGAGCCGAGATCGCGCCATTGCACTCCAGCCTGGGTAACAAGAGTGAAACTCCGTCTCAAAAAAAAAACCAAAAACCAAAAAACAAACAAACAAAAAACAATCTCCTTGATATAGGAATGAAACACATTACAAAAGCAGTAACCCTGAAAATATTATAAATAAGCAAAATTATTTTCATCCACATTGCTTTTTTTTCTGGTAGCTTTAGTTATAGCAGAGGACACTCAGGAAAAATAACCAATCTCTTTCCCAGTGATTGCTTTTTACCTAAGGAGGGCTCCTGGTTTTACCAGGCTAGCCTATCCACATTCAGATGTAGACTATCCTCCTCCTCTTCACCACAGAGAAAAGCCGCAGTTGTTGGTTTCTGCATTCAGCTGCATGATGGAGGGCCCTCACTCGCCTCAGCACTTGAGTGATGACGCATACATTCCATACAGCTGGAGATGGAAGACGACTCAAAGAAATTGCCTGCTTCAGCTCAAAATATTTTTAAAGGAGATGCAAATTGGAGTGGAGAGATAGTGGGAGAAAAATCATCCTTTGACAAGTACCCTTATTTGGGGTTAATTTAGTCAAAGGTCCCATAGATGTATATCTTGTTTAATATTTCCTTTAGATTTTAAGAAGACCCAGGATTTTATTGTTGCTGTGTAACAGCTAATCATATATATCAAATATCACCATTTCTGAACAGCTATTCTCAGGAAATGATAAATGCAGATAATATGTTTCATTTGTATGGTGCTTTTCTTTTTAAAAAGCACTTCCACATACATGATCAATTCATGTTTTTTGTTTTTGTTTTTATTGTATCAAATATTTCTGACCTGCTTAACCTATAATCAAGCATATACTTTCATGTGTATTTAGGCAAAACTTAATTGCTAGAGGAATAACATTTACATTTGTAATGTAAATTGAAATTGATTTGAAATATCATGTATGAAGTATTTTTTTGGACTTTAAAATGAAAAAATTAAAATAAAAAAGAGATTTATCCTAAAACTTAAGCCCTAGAGTTTTGTCCTAAATTTTAATACCCCACCCCCTTTTTTTCTATTGATTGTTTCCACGAGCACCTCAATGGATTGAGTAGACCCCATAATGGGTAACATTGGCAATTTGATTAATTGAAAGAAAGACAGAGTGAGCATCAACAGGGGTCTTGGTTTAGAGTAGGCCATACTCCAGAGATATCTGATTACCAAAAATCTCCATCTAGTATTTTCGGATGCTCCCTAAACAACCAGGTAGCTTTCAGATTAATGATCAGCAAAGTTCAATGAATTCAATATTATCTATTTGAGTAGCTGAGCTATCTGCATTTGTAGTTGTTGCTGTTTTAAATTCTAGCAATGTTCTTGCTGAAGTAACAGATGACAGACTTAAGAAAGGGACTCATGCCTATCTATGATCTTCACATATGAAGATCTTAATCTATGGCTTTTCAGAGTAAACATATCTCTAGAAGCTTTCCAAAAACTAAACCATTCCTCACAATTACCAGATCCATTTTGGATAAATTCAAGACTTGACTTTGCTGGAGCAAATGGGAATGATGTACCGGGACCAGTGCTGGACCCCTCCTAGGTTGTTTCATCCCCTGAGGATTCTAGGACAAGAATCACCAGCCATTTCTATTTTGCAAAAGGGCTCTCATGAGGAGTAAATAATGAGACATGACTGTGAAAACCATGCACAAAATCTCTTAGAACATGACAGAGAGCATCTACTCACCTGTGTGAAGGTGACTGTAGGTTCATTTTTAATCTTTGTATATATTGTTCCACATGTAAAGAGGTGAAGTTCCAGAGGAATAAGAATGGACAAATACTGGGGTTGATGTGAGGTAGAGAAAGAAAATAGCTTTTGCCAGGCGCAGTGGCTTACATCTGTAATCCCAGCACTTTGGGAGGCTGAGGCGGGCAGATCACGAGATCAGGGGTTCGAGACAAGCCTGATCAACATGGTGAAACCCCTTCTCTACTAAAAATACAAAAATTAGCCGGGCATGGTGCCGCACACCTGTAATCCCAGCTACTCAGGAGGCTAAGGCAGAATTGCTTAAACCTGGGAGGCAGAGGTAGCAGTGAGCTGAGAGTGCACCATTGTACTCCAGCCTGGGTGACAGAGCAAGACTCCATTTCAAAAAAAAGGAAATAGCTTTCAAATCTTTTATTTTCTTTCTAAAAAGTTAAACACCATCTCCCTGATGCAGATCTTGAATTTTATTTAGGATGATGATTTTAAATGTTAGATTAGGGTATTTTTATATTGCTGGCTGACTTTCTAACACCCTCTTGAATGTTTGTATAAGGTATGAAATTTGAAAGGTAAAAATCCATGCATGCTATGGGATGAGATTACTATAATTCCTATAGAATGAGAACAAACAGCAGAGGTCAACCCTGACTTTCCAGAAAAAGGGGCACCTGACTTCCTGGTACTGCCAATTCAGAAGGGTAGCTATGAGGCTTAAATGAGATGGTATATATAAGACATAAGAGTACCTGGCTCGGGAGGGGAACAACACACACTGGGGCTTGGAGGCTAGGGGGAGGGGTTGGGGAGAGGGAGAGCATCAGGATAAATAGATAATGCATGCTGGATTTAATACCTAGGTGGTGGGTTGACAGGTGGAGCAAACCACCATGCCACACATTTACCTATGTAACAAATCTGCATGTCCTGCACGTGTATTCTGGAACTTAAAATAAAAATAAAAAAGAGAGTACCTGGCTCATAGTAAATGATCAGAAAGTGTTAACTATTATCATTATCATCAGCAAAGTTAGTAAATTATTATCTGATGCATGGATCTCCACGCTGAATGAATGGGAATGAAAGAAGAAAATGAATCTTTACTGAGTATTCACTGGGGACATGTGAAAGATTTTTTCATGTTTTGACTCTCTTCATCCTCACACAACTCTGCAAGATTATTGTAGATGACTATGTGGGGTCCTGTAGCAAATTAGTGGCTGAGCCAGAATGTCCTGCCCATGCTACATTAGGCAGATTTGACCAATGCTTCTGAGTAACATTTTAATGTGAGCTAATCATGACATGCACTCCAAGAGGTTAGTCCACATGCATATGCTTGAATTGCTAATCTACCACCTCATTAAGCTGTCTCCAAATGAAAGAATAAATCAAAGCATAACATGCAAATGACCTATGTTTATTTATGCACATGAATCCAGAAGGGAAAAAAACCTTCATGCAGGGAAAATCTTCTAAGGAAGACTTCTTAATCTGGCAAAATTATTAGCTATAGGTGTCTTTGCCATCTTCCACTCCTTTCTTCAGTGCCTAATACCTGCTACTACACTAATATCCTCAATACATTTATTCATAAAGTCCCTTTCACTCACAAAGTATTAATTAAAGTGGGCCAGGCATGGTGGCTCACACCTGTCATCCCAGCATTTTGAGAGGCCAAGGTGGGCAGATCACTTGAGGTCAGGAGTTCGAGACAGGCCTGGCCAACATGGTGAAACCTTGTATCTACTAAAACTTCAAAAATTAGCTGAGTGTGGTGCACACTTGTAATCCCAGCTGCTCAGGAGGCTGAAGCAGGAGAATCACTTGAACCCAGGAAATGGAGGTTGCGATGAGCTGAGATTGCACCACTTCACTCCAGCCTGGGCAACAGAGCAAGACTGTCTAAAAAAAATATATCTTAAGGTAGTAATCCTTTAGTGCTAAATGCATTTTAAATCAGGATTTTGAGTGACACAAATCTTTAAGACTCTAAAGGAGGCAAGAAATCTGTAATGGTGGAATTCTAGGTATTATAAGATAGTAAGGAATAATTCTGGGGACAGGATATTGTCCTAGATCTTTCAAAATACACCAGATAGTTCTTTGAGTCAACTAAGGGAATTGGGCATTTAAAAAAATCAATTTCCTTACTTATTTGGTTTATGAACTATTTTTTACAGCCCTGTGCTAGCAAAAACTGGTTTTCTTTTTACTACCATGATATGTACCACCTCTTTTAAAGATGTTCATTTAACAAAAAAAGTTTAAACATATGTTGCTTTCATCTGTACTTATTTGGCCTGTTGGGGTCAATAGAGAATAGAACACTCCTCCTTCGGTAACTGCTGTCTGAATGTGTTCTCCCAAAATTTATATGTTGAAGTTTATTTACCTCCAGAGGACACACCAACAAGTCATCATCTTGGACACACAGACATGGACGTCACCAGACTCTGAACCTGCTGGTGCCTTGATCTTGGACTTCCCAGTCTCCAGAATGGTTAGAAAGAAATTTCTATTCTTTTATAAATGACCCAATCTCAGGTATTTTGTTATAGCAACAAAAATGAATGAAGACAGTAAATAATAATTGTATATTTTGGGCTTGAGATTTTCTTCCTAATGTGAACTGTTTAGGTACTTGATTTATCCTGCATTCATATAAACATGTTGCTCTGTTCATAGGAAATAGTTCATTTTCAGTTTCCATGAGTCCTCTGCTCTCTGCCTTCTCCCCCAGCCTAACCAAAAGCTTCCTGACTCCAGGTCTTTGATTTGTTTAAAATCTTCTTTCCCCATCCAGTGTTGTAGTTTGTCTGTAGTAGATACTCTGTACAAACTGTTTTGTTACTATTTCAGAAATTTGAAACATTAAAAGATACTTCTTTTAATCCTCAAAAAGTATATAAATTTTAAATGGTAGCAGGTAGGTCTCTTTAGGAGGAAAACCACTGCTGTGATTCAGCCGCATTTAGGAATAAGAATTTTGGGCACATGATCAAAAAGTAGGGTCTGTTAAAAGTCATTACAAGAGGCTTGGTGTGGTGGCTCACACCTGTGATCCCAGCACTTTGGGAGGCCAAGGTGGGAGGATTGCTTGATCCCAGGAGTTTAAGACCAACCTGGGCAACATAGCAGACCCCAACTCTTAAAACCAAAAAACAAAACAAACAACAACAACAAAAACAAAGCCAGGTGTGGTGGTAGATGCCTGTAGTCCCAGCGACTTGGTAGGCTGAGGTGGGAGGATTGCTTAAGCCCGGGAGGTTGAAGTTGCAGGAGTGAGCTGTGATCATGCCCCTGTGTCCCAGCCTGGGTGACAGAGTAAGACCCTGTCTCAAAAGTTGCCATTATAACAGTATTAAGAGGTGGGACCTTTAAGAAGTGATTAGGTCCTTCGGGCTCTGCCCTTATGGATGGAAATACTGCCATTAGGAAAGGGCAATTTCAGCCCCTTTTGCCTCTTTGCCCTTCCTCCTCTGCCATGTGATGTTGCAGCAAGAAGGCCCTTGTCAGATGTTGGCACCTTGTTCCTGAACTTCTCAGCCTCCAGAACTCTGAGAAAGTAAATGTATGTTCATTATAAATTACCCAGACTGTGATATTCTGTTATAGCAGCACAAAATGAACGGAGAAAATAAGCCAAGTTTTAATGTAACAATAAATATTAGTTGGTAAGTTTACCAGAATTCTGGAAATCCATGAAGCAGCAGCATAAGTGGTTTGCCTCTTTCTCCAGCAGCAACATAGTGAAATCTTAACCCTGAATCCTGAAAGTAGACGGCATGGAATTTTAGTGTTGATTGTCAAAGAAATATATTTAGCATTTCCATTTTACTAAAAAGTAATCACTTGCCTTATTTTTTTAAATTTGTGTACTTACAATATCTTTATGACACTTAATTCCTTTATTTTTTAACATCAAGAAAAAAATGTACTTTTATTAATTTTCAAAAAGAAAAGCAAACCCCATGACCTATTAATAGGGTAAATTGACAGATTCACTTTGTCAACACCCCCTTGACAGTATCTTCTCTTCCTGTTCCAGTACAAGGTCAATTTATATACTATGAGCTTTTGAAGCAATGTCACAATTTGTAATTTTCATCTTACTGTTGGTAACCTTCATCTTACTGATGTGTCACATTTCATTTCCCTCTAATGCTGCAGGACATGTAAATAATTCTAATCTGAATTTATATTTCTGCCATGTTTACCTCTTAGTAATCTACTTTCCTCAGCTTGCCCGTCAAGAGCTGTGCAATCAGTTATATAATTCACACCTCCTTCTCTTATTTTTAGGTCTCTCCTTCCCACATTATTATTTTGAGTGTTGCATGTTCTGTTCCCCTTGCTGCCTGCTCCTCATGTCATGTCAGTGTGCATTTCTAATAACAGAATGCCCTGAGTACTCAAGACTTCCCTCTGTGTGTGGGAGACAAGAAGACCCAAGGAAAATTTTAAAACATGGGAATGAGACAGGAAGTCAAGCAAATACTAAGCAAACTGAAGGGAGGAAAGTAGAGGGAACAGCAAGAAAAAAGCAAAAACCTCTGAAATCAAGCAAGCTAGGAAGAAACCAAGAACAAAAAGCTGAACATAGACATTGGGTTTTGAATATCAGGCAACTCAGGCAACTGAGTTTTCAGATGTGAAAGAATCATTTTACAGATTGAGGCCCAAAGGTGGTAACATGGATCATAAAATGGTTGAGAGCAGGACTGTGACCAGAATCTCCATCTTGACAACTCCCAAGACAATTTTCTTTCCACTCCTTCATTCTGTCTTTGGGGAAGCTCTTTAGGTGGCCAGAGACAGAGTAAAGGCATTTTGTGAAATTCCAGATGATTCTTATACTACTTTTACTCCTCAGGTTGGACAGAGATAACAGATCTGACTTTACCCTCAGCTGCACAATGGCTTCCTAGAGGTTCAGTAACTTATTTTATTGATGGTGAGTCTTGGAGGATGAAATGCCATGGGCACTTGACTGGATTTAATTAACAGATACTTTATTGCACTGACTATGCACCAGGCACTGTCCTAGGTTTTTCAGTTTTGTTTTTACAAATATTAACAGATTTAATTCTTGTGTGGATCCCATGCAAGAAAAAAGTTCTCTTGCCCTTCTGAACTTCAGCTGCAGGGCAATTTAGCTCCTAACAGAAAATCAGGACTTGGTGACTCCCCTTTTATGAGGCTGGGTTTGAAAGGCCTGTGAGTCACACTGCAGGGAACTATTTTCCTCCACCACCTGGAGCCTCAGGAAACAATATCTGTGGGCTGTGAGGAAGCTTGAACAATTAGAGTCTGCAGGCATGGCTGGATTTACCTTTGATTCCTTTCCTCTGGTCCCTGACTTCATAAGTCTGCATTCCTCCCTACAAACACACACACAATTTACTTATTGTTTCATGCTACCTAAGTTGTCTGTGATCATAATAAACTAATGACTGCCAAAGACTTATTCTGTTTACTCTTATTATCTCTAAAATTGGGCAAGAACATCCTCCTGAGACATTAGGGTGCCACAAGGAACAATTCCCTACAGTTGATCTGAGCTCTAAAGGGCAAATGGGTGACAGGAGGCAGCTTCCCCTTGCAGTAGGAAAAAGCAGGATTATTCTGGGTTGTGTGGGGTCGGGGGACAGTAATAGAACAGGACCCTGATTAGAGAAGCGCGCGCGCGCGCGCGCACACACACACACACACACACACACACACACACACACACACACACGGCACACAGGGACCCGACCCCTCCCGCCGGGACACTAGGGGACGCTGAGCCGGCGTCTCGGAAGGAGCAGCCGGGCGCCCCCTGCCCTCGCGGCCGTCATGCTCCCTCCCGCTCCCGCCAGGCCCGCGCCGTCCTTCACCTTGATCCGCACGTAGCAGTGGGTGCCCAAGGAGGGGTCGCTCAGGCAGGCGGGAGGGTGCTCCCGGGCGGGCCGCCGGAAGGTCTGCGCCGGCCCCTTGCCGAGGCTCCACAAAAGTTTGAGCAGGTGGATGGAGGCGCAGAGCCCGCAGTAGCAGTAGACCAGGGACCAGAAGAGCAGGGACCGGAGCGTGAGCATCAGGCGGGGCAGGCAATCCCGCAGCTTCGCCATCGGGCGGCGGCGGCGGCGGGGCCCACTGCCCTTCCTCGGGAGCCGGCGAGCGAGCGCAGCTGCGCGCCAGGCCCGCCCGCCGTCGCCGCTCGGCGCGCGCCTCCCCCGGCCCGGGGCGGCCGGCGTTGCGTGTCACCGCTGCGGCTCCGCACACGCGCCGCGCCCGGTCCGCAGCGCGCAGGACAGAGCCGGGCCTGCGAGGTGCTCCGGGCCGGGCCAGGCCGGGGTGCAGAGCTCTGCCGTCTTCCGCGGAAGGCGAGATCCCGTTTCAAAATCGCCAAACTGTGGGGAGGATGAAGGCGAGACTTTCCAAACCATCCTGGGCACCAGGGAAGGAAGCGCCACTTGCTTTTCTTTGTTCAAGCAAAACTATTTCTAAGCCCACATGCTCGTGTGTTACAGTTCAGGGACACAGGTCAGTGGCAAACGACCATGCTATTATACCCAAAGAGATTCCTTATAGTACAAAATTACTCTGCACTCTGAAAGATACCAACCTTCCTCTTCTCAAAATCTTTCACGGAGCCATAATTTCTGTAGAAATCCGCCTATGGCTTGCCTGGCTCAGCCACAGCAAACTTACAGAGAGCTGCAACCTCAGAGATACAACGAATGCTCCAATAACGTGAGGCCGCAGAAGCCTGGCCAGGAAGGCCGCACACCGAAGGGTTCCTCCAAGCACTGGAAGCCGTGGGAGTGACAGTCCTCCATAGGTGTCTCAGCCTCAGCACCGATGTGGCCACTCTTGTCCTGACCAGGGTTCACATCCTTCATCGTCCAGCACTGTCAGAATTTCATTAAGCCATTGTCCTGATCATACAATATCAGGCGCCAGGCGGGAAGGAGCAGTAAGCGATGTTTGTACTACATTAAGGACACTTTTACTTTATTCCTGACAATCTTCTGAAGAGATTGATTCTCCAGGGTTCAGGTGATCCTCCCACCTCAGCCTTCTGAGTAGCTGAGACTACAGGTATGTGCCACCATACCTGGCTAATTTCTCTATTTTTTGTAGAGACAGGGTTTTGCCATGTTGCCTAAGCTGATCTTGAATTGCTGAGAACAAAGGTTTATGTCTTCCTCCTTGCACCATTGATTATGTATTATTTATGTATTTAGCAATTTTCCTATTATAATTTTCAGTCACCCAAAGTTTTAACTTATAACACATTACATTTTCAGAGATAAGGGTCTTGCTATGTGGATCAGGCTGGTCCTGAACTGGCCTCAAGCAATCCTCCTACTTTAGCCTCCCAAAGTGCCGAGACTACAAGCATGAGGTACTGTGCCTAGGAGTCTTATTATTGACTTGTATCTGATTCTATTATGGCCCAAGAACGTACAGCACATAACCTTTATTCTTTTAAATTTGTTTTATGATCTGGGATATGGTCTATCTTGGTGAATGTTCTGTGGCTGTTTGAAAAAAAACACCGTGTGAATGGAGTGTTCTACATTCGCCCATTAGACCATGTTGGCTGCTTGTGTCCTACCTTTTTTTTTCTTTTTCAAGAGACAAGGTCTCACTGTGTTATCCAGGATGGAGTGCAGTGGCTATTCACAGGTGCAATCATTAAGCACATTGCAGCCTCGGACTCCTGGGCTTAAGTGAACATCCTGCCTCAGCCTCCTAAGTAGCTGGGATTACAGGTGCATTCC